AGAACAAGACTTGAAATATGCACGTATCTTTTAAGTAAGAAGGAGAAAATAAAACCGGTATTTTAAAAAGTACTATTAAGGGGGCAGCGCCTGTGGCTCAAAAAAGTAGGGCACTGGCCCCATATGCTAGAGGTGGCGGGTTCAAACCCAGCCCCAGCCCTGGCCAAAAAAAAAACCTGCAAAAAAAAAAAAAAGTACTATTCAGGATAAGAGAGTATAAGTGATATGTTTTTTAAATTATAGAGGCATTCTGAGTTTCTTGATATGTGCTGTGAAAAGTTACAGCAAAGAAGCAGCATTTACTAACCCTCTTAGCAGCTGAGGCTAAGCTATGATGTTCAGTGGGTTAAGCATATACATTAAAACCTTCATAGCTGACCACCCCCCAACACTGACCACTTCAAGTTGACCTAATTTTCATAGACTGGACATGCACCACATGTATGTACCAATATAGCAGACCAAGTTCCTTATGTTGACCACCTCTCTATGTTGAGCAGTTTGTTACAATCTTCTGGGTGGTCAACTTACAGAGGTTCTACTGTATATTCAACCCTTATTTATTTATTTATTTATTTTTTTGCAGTTTTTGGCAGGGGCTGGTTTGAACCTGCCACCTCCAGCATATGGGGCTGGCGCCCTACTCACTGAGCCACAGGCACCGCCCACAACACATTTTTTACTTACATTATTTTTTATTTCCAATGGGTTTATCAGCAGGTGACCCTATCTTAGGTCAAGGAGCATCTATATGAAAATATAAAATAGAACCTTGTTTATTGGTGCAAAAGGGTCTTTCTGGAGAATTATGAATTGTCTTTACTGAACAGAAGTGTGGGAAACAGTTTCCACCCAATCATATAAACTGTCACATAACCGAAATTCAGTATTAATAAGGATAGTTTTTGAATCTTTTATTGAAACAGAAAGACTCTTAAAAATTGTTCACTTGTCCCCCTCCAACGACTCTCATCTGTTTCAAGACTGAATAAATATGTTAGCCCAGTAGTGTTTCCAGAATTCAGCAAACACTGCACAATTAGTTCCAAAGCAGATGGTGGATAGTCAGCAGATGCCTTGGGCTTTTCCCTCCAAAACACCAACACCTACCTGACAGTAAGGAGACTAGGGGCTTTCAAACCGCTCCGATACGATGTTCTTCCTATTTCACGCAATGGAAATCCATATTTCAGCTGTAAGTGTCTCAGCAAGGCCACCAAATAATTTTGCTTTAATTTGGATGTGCTGAATAATTTTGAGGAAAAAAACTTTAAAATTAAGGTATTTGACAATAATTTATTCAAACGGAAAAAGGGAATGGAAATACTGAATCACCTTCCACTAGCGCCTTAATGTCTCACCTGTGCATTGACTGAAACGCTGACCTGTGTACCCCAAATAAGCAAAACTGTACAAGAGAAAAAGGGGCCAAGGAGAGCAGGGGGTGGTGGGAACAGCCAATTCCTAAGCACAGTCGTGGGGCCATGGCTGTTGGTTTTGCTATTAAGTTTCATAATTTATATGTTCACAGATTTTTCAAATGTATCCTATGTTCTGTTTTTTAATTGCAAAAAATTAAGTATTGGGTGTTCTTCAAATTCCCTGGTGAAAGCCAGTTTCCAGGGCTGGGGAGGAGGCAACATCACAGAGCCAGACTCACGCTGCCTTCTGCAGATGAGGAAACAAAGACTGGAGACAGGAAGTGACTTTGCTAAGATCACACAATTCCGGGCAAGACACAACAGCCAGAATTAATTTCTCTCCCAGGTGCAAAGATTTTCCCACCATTCAAACCTCCCTCTAAAATCACATTTTCACACTTTATATTTGGAAGAAATGCAGGATTCCAGGGCGCCTGATAGGCCCGCGTATAAAGATGTAATTGTAATTAAACAGAGAATGAAGAGAATGCTTTGTGTGTTTGGCATCTGGCAAGTTACGGGTCTACTTGTGGGTTCTTTGGGTTGTGATTCACCAAAGACCTAACTTAGGGGTCCAGGAATAAGACAAATGCCATGGGCAGGTTGTAGGGGTAGAAACTGCCTAGAAATTATGTACATTCAACACAGTGTCATTGTGGTAGAGAAAAAGGGGGTATTGCCCCTTAAAGACCTTACCGCTCCTCAATATGTAGAAACGGCCCTTTCAAACTCCCAGAAAGTGATTTTGGCTCTTTCCACTAAGAGAAGTTTACTACATCTGCAATGACGTTCTTTGCAGCCTTGTTCATAACAGGAAAAGAGTAGAAAGAGTTTAAATGTCTATAATTAGGGAATCCGTGAAATGTTTTTGTACATCCAAGCAGTGAACAGTTACGCAGCTTTTAAAATAGATGAGGTAGATCTACGTGGACTGATATTAAAAGGACTCCTAGGTTGTTAAATGGAAAAAGAGTGGTACAGAACCTCCGTGCTTTATGAAACAAGAGAAATACACATATATACACGGAGACATGTATATGGTTGAATATGCAAATATGCCACCAGTCATGGTCCCTTCTGGAGAGGGCACGTGACAGGCACGCTTCTCACTGCACTTACCACTCATGCTGCTTGAAATTTACCAAATGAATACTTTTTTTATTTAAACCAAAAAAAAAAAAAAAAAAAACTTAAAAAGGGCGGCACCTGTGGCTCAAAGGAGTAGGGCGCTGGCCCCATGTGCCAGAGGTGGTGGGTTCAAACCTGGCCCCAGCCAAAAATAAAACATCAAAAAACTGCACAAAAAAAGCTTAAAAAAAAAAAAAGACAGGTTTTTCACCCTATCCTATTTCAGAATGTCTGAAAGACAGAGCCCTACAATGGGACTTCAACTTGCCTGCTTCACGGCTAATATTCAAAAAGCACTGTGTGGTATGTGTTTTCCTTTCTGAAGAATTTTGGTTTCATCTTGATAATCTCAGGTCCAGAAGGCTTGGTAGATGGCCACTGCATCATGAGCAAATTATTCCTCTGGGGCTGGAAAGGAAGCAATTTCTTTCTTCCTTTTGTAACTCTCGAAGATGTTGGTCTAACGGAGACAGAGGGCAGCCCTACCCCACCCACCCACCCACCCACGGAGGGGCTATACGCAGCCCCTGCAGAAGCCCTTCAGAGGCCAAAGCTTCATTCGTTGGAAATTAAAGTGTTACCTAACATTTTATGGAAAAGATGAATCTCATTTGGACCTACCCATCAGGACTTAATCTAGTGTTGAATATTCTGCTCTTCCCCCCAGCTCCCTCCTGGGAGCTCATGTCAGGTTTCCCCTTCCTTCCTTCTGGTTTGCACACCTGGCATTTTGCTACCAACCTTAGCGACTCCTTTTGGCCCTCACTCTCACCGTTAACCCACTCAGCCAGGTAAAAGGCAGGTGTGCGCCCCGCAGTGGTCACCTCTGGATCTCTTCAACCCTAGAGGCTGCCCTTGGACTCCAGTGGGGGCCAACGCAACCATATCTCACCCTCTCTCCTAGAACTTCTATTTTCTTCCAAATTTTGGCATCTTTGAAGTCAGGAATGTATCTCACCACTTTTGTTGCACAGGTGGCAATTCTAAGTGTTGGCATTGCCTACGCATCCTGGGAGACCAGGGTCTACAAGACACGGGGTCACTGGAATCACCTGCTGCTTCCCTTCTTGTGGAAGAACTAATTTATTATTCCTTTAAGATAACTGAGAATAAAGAACCTAAGAATTATATTTCAAACAATAAACAGTAAAAATTAAAGTAGCTTGAAAACTCTACACAAACGTTCATAGCATCATTATTCATAAGCCAGAAGGTTCAAACAACTTAAATGGATGAATGAAATGTAACAGACCCTGATAATGGAATATTAATAAAAAATGAAGTATAAAGCTACTAAAACATGGATGAGGCTCAGCGCCTATGGCTCAAGTGGCTAAGGTGCCAGCCATATACACCTGAGCTGGCGGGTTCGAATCCAGCCCAGGCCCACCAAACAACAATGACGCTGCAACCAAAAAATAGCCGGGTGTTGTGGCGGGCGCCTGTGATCCAAGCTATTTGGGAGGTGGAGGCAGGAGACTTGCTTGAGCCCAGGAGTTGGAGGTTGCTGTGAGCTGTGATGCCACAGCACTCTACCCAGGGAGACAGCTTGAGGCTCTGTCTCAAAAAAAAAAAACCAAAAACCAGAAAAACATGGATGAACCTTGAAAATAGTGTGTTTCATGAAAGCAGCCACTAACATAGGCCATGTTAAACTTAGGAGAAATATACAGAAGAGAGAAATCCAGAGACAGAAAGATTAGTGGCTACCTAGAGGCCAGAGGGTTTGTATGTGTGGTTTCTTTGTGGAGTGTTGAAAATGGCATAAAATTAGGTTATAGTGATGTCTGCACAACTTAATGTATTGAAAACCACTGAATAAAACTTTAAATTAGTGAATTTTATGGCATGCGAACTACATCTCGTAAAGTTGCTCAGATGTATCTTCTTACAGAAAAAAATTAATTAGAAATGATAATTTTGGAAGAAACATCAAAAATCTCTCGAACATGGGATCAATACATCAAACATCTTTTATGTTCAGAAGAGAGAGTAAAGAATATTTTTGGATTAAGAGTGTATCTTTAAAAGGCTTTAAAATGTAATCTTTGGTCTCTAGTCAGAGAGTAATGGAGTATTAGGAGTGATATTTAAGTTTAATTTAATTAAGTACAAATGTTACATATTTCCACCTTCCCAGAAATGGTCACTTCGTCCTAATTAAGGACATGGAAACTAAGTGTGATTTAATCTTCATTCTGTGGACTATGTGTTCAGACAAATTTAGGCAAACAGCAAAGACTGAGACATCCTCCCACCAAACCTATAAACATTTTGAAAATGCTTAAAGGTAACTCCATCCTCCACCTGGCAGGGAAGTTTAACAGGGGCTGCCAAAATGTAGCCCAATTAGTCAACTCCAAATAACGAAGGCTTCTGGGGTCTATACGCCAGCAGGGGTGACAGTCCTCGACAGCAGTCCAGGGTACAAGAGCTCCTCCCTCACATCCTTCAGTTGGCTCTGGCCACTCTGGTGTTGGAGCCATAGAAGTTCAACATTGTGGTCACCAACTCCGGGAGGTCAAAATCGTGTCTCCATCCCCAGTCCTTTCGAGCGTTGCTGTCATCAAAGTTCATCGGCCAACTATCCGCTAGGAGAAGATGAGAGCAGCTGAGGTTATTCAGGTTGTAGATTTGTAGGATGGTCTAGAACAGCGGTCCTCAACCTGTGGGTCACGACCAATGGAAATACGTCCTGCATATCAGATATTTACATTCCGATTCACAACAGTAGCAAAATTAGTTATGAAGTAGCAATGAAAATAATGTTATGGTTGGGGTTCACCACAACATGAGGAACTGTATTAAAGGGTCACGGCATTAGGAAGGTTGAGAACCACTTTTCTAGACTCTAGAACATCTTATATAAAAGTCTATCATACAAGGTACAAAAAAGGAAATAGACCCTGAGTGCAGCAGCAGAGCCTGGAGCTATTGCACGCAAAAAGTCACCTTCCAGGTTGAAAGAATGGGCTACTTGTCTGTCAGGCACTGTGAATTTCCACTTTTTTTTTTTTTTGGAGACAGAGTCTCACTGAGTGGCCTTGGGTAGAATGCCGTGGCATCACAGCTCCCAGCAATGTCAAACTCATGGGCACAAGTGATCCTCTTGCCTTAGCCTCCTGAATAGCTGGGACTGCAGGCATCCGCCACAACACTTGGCCAGTTTTTTTTTTTCTATTTTTAGTAGAACAGGGTCTCACTCTTTCTCAGGCTGGTTTGGAACTCCGGAGCTCAGGCAATCCACCAGACTCAGCCTCCCAGAGTGCTAGGATCACAGGCGTGAGCTTGTGTTTGAGGTTATGCGTCAAAAATTTGGTCCCGGCCAAATCTGCACATGTTATTACAGTCTCAGACAACTTTGAATGGTAGAGAGCTTATACTCAAAAAGGTGCTCCCAGCCACAGACTGGCAAAGTTACACTACTTAAAAACCCACCGCTGTTTTCATACCACCTCAATTGCTTCCATTTTTCCTTGCTTTGTGTTTGAACTGTAAAAATAGTGAGAGGCTGACAAGCTGTTTATTTGGAATAGAATCATTTCACCCACTTTAGATATCACTTCCAAAAATCAAAGCATCTGCAGCTCCTTCTCCAGGAGTCTCTGGACCTCAAGAAGGAGCTCTGCTGTCCTTAGTCTTCTGAGGTTCACGTCCTCCAGGGACTCAGTGAAGGCCAAAGCTTAACTTCGGCTTTCAGACAGCCTGTCGAGATATACCAACCTATGGCCTGGCGAACAGCGTCCACATTGTACGTGATCTCGAATTCCGGGATGTGCTTGAGAACCTCCAGGGCCAGCTCCTGAGGGGTGAAGCTCATGGCACTGATGTTGTAGGTCCTCATGGACAGAGACTCGGCCGGGGCCTCCATGACCTCCAGGGTGGCCCGCAGGCAGTCACTGATGTACATCATTGGGAGCCTCGTGCTGGAGTCCAGGTTGCACTCGAATTTGCCATGCTTTGCCGCATCATGGAAGATCTGGACCGCATAGTCTGAAAGACAAGTCTGCCTGCGTGCTTCCTTACAACAAAACCATAATCGAGCTCAGCAGTTCTCAAATATTTTAGTCTCAGAACCTCTTTAGATTCTTAAAAATCTGATGACTCCCAAGGAGAGCTGATTAATGTGGGTTATATCCACATCCATTGTATTAGAACGAATGGAGAATTTTTTAAAATATTATACATTTTTAAATGACAATAGGCCGGGTGCAGTGGCTTTCATCGCTCATCCTAGAAAGATCAGATGAAGCCAAGAGTTTGAGATCAACGTGAGCAACAGAGCAGGACCCCACCTCTGCAAAACATTGCGGGTGGGTGTTGTGAGGGCCTGTTGTTCCAACTGCTCGGGAGGCTGTGACCGGAGGACGCCTGAGCCCAGGAGTTTGAAGTGAGCTATGATAACATCACTGTACTCTAGCCCAGGGAACAGAGTGAGACTGTCTCAAATTAAAAAAAAAAAATACAATAAGCCTATTATATACTAATACGTAATGGTATTTTATATGAAAATGAATATCTTGGGCAGCACCGTGGCTCAGAGGAGTAGAGCACCAGCCCCATATACCAGAGATGGCAGGTTCAAACCCAGCCCTGGCCAAAAACTGCAAAAAAAAAAAAAAAAGAAAGAAAGAAAGAAAGAAAATAAATATCTTTTCCAAATAAAGAAAAGTCACCAAGAAGGCAGGCTTGTTTCAGCTTTGGTAAGTCTCTTGTCTGTGTTGCTATCACGCATGTAGCCTCTGTAGAACTCCGGGGCGTGCTTGTCAAAGGACAGTGAAAAAGGCCAGTGACATGTCAGTGTAATTGTTTTTTTTAGTGTAACTGTTTCTTGAGATAGGGTCTCGCTCTGTCACCTAGGCTAGAATGCTCTGGTGTAATCATAGCTCATTGCAGCCTTGAATTCCTAGGCTCAAGTGATCCTCCTACCTCAGCCTCTTGAGTAGCTGGGACAGGCCTATGCCACCATCCTGGCTAATTTTTTGATTTTTGTAGCAATGGGGTCTCACTATGTTATCCAGGCTGGTCTTGAATTCCTGAGCTCAAACAATCCTCCCACCTCAGCCATAAAAAGTGCTGGGTTTACAGACGTGAGCCACTTCACGTGGCCTACTACTGATAAGAAAAAAGTTTTCAGCCCCTGCACCTCTTGAAAAGCGTCAAGGATGCCCCAGATCCCCACACCATACTTGGAAAGGCACCAAAGACCTGAAGCTTCTTAAAAGCAATCAGCACTAATGCCTCCTTTAAAATCCTGCTTTTGGGCTCGGCTCCTGTGGCTCAAGCGGCCAAGGCGCCAGCCACATACACCTAAGGTGGCGGGTTCGAATCCCCAGCCCGGGCCTGCCAAACAACAATGATGGCTGCAACCAAAAAAATGGCCAGGCATTGTGGCGGGCACCTGT